TCTTTTACATAAATTATGATGCGAGTTTATGCAAAGAATTAGAGAACTCCATTAAATCTTACACTATGCCCCTCTTTTGCGACAACACCTCGGCCATAGCCCTAGCAAACAACCCAGTATTTCATGCTAGGACCAAACACATCGAGGTTGACTCTCACTACATACGAAACTATGTTAAAGATAACACCATACAGATTCATCACATACCAAAAAAGGACCAATTGGCAGATCTGCTCACCAAACCTCTCCCTTCTCTACGGTTCAAATTCCTTACCAACAAGATGATGCAACCACTGGACGCATCACCTTGAGGGGGATATTAGATAGAAATGTTATTTACATATATTCATTACTTTTCTTTGCTTTACACGTGTATTTCTCTTACTGTTGTATGTTACAAAGGCTACCTATAACACCTATATATGAGATGATGTACTTACTGACAGATGATTCAATTCATTTTCTTGTTTCGGTTTAGCCTTCTTGTTCTTTTCTTCTTTCCCGTATCCTCTTCTCACGTGCTTTCAACAAGGTGTATACCATCCTAGCCATGTCAATAAATAGGCAGATCGATCAGTCATTAATATTGGTAATGGAAAAGAGTGTATTCAGTGTGTATTTTGGTGTAAGTGTTTGAATTTCAGAAAAAATAAATATGATTCACCGAATATAATTTTAAATTGGAGGCTGAGAGGATTAGTTAAATATAATTTTATTTGACTACATTTTTTTTATGCTTTCTATCAGTTTTTTAGAAGTTGATTTCTACAATCATAGTAATGAAATAATTTTCTCCACAATAATTTGATAATCAATTTTATTTTATTTTATTTATTTATTTTTGGTTAAAACCCACAAGAGGGCCCTACGCGTTAATATAGGAAAAAATTACAAAGTCGTTAAAGGGTTCACAAACTCACTACCGCTCAAAGAGCTACAAAATCAAAAGAAAAAGAAAACCTACGAGCTCGAGAACCCTGCTATAAAACAAAACAAAGAAACTTAGGAACATGCTACGGTGCTTAAGTGAAAGCATCCAAAAAAAGGGAGTTAACAAAACACAACCAAAATGCTCCCCGCAGTAGAAATCTGCAAAGATCTGACAATCACACGTCCACACAGGATTCTTGTGCAAATTAATAAATTGACGCAATCATCCCAAATAGGTTCTTGTGATCCTTTTAGGACTGCTACAACTTTTTATAATGGCAGTTATTAAGTTGTGTGGAAAAAGAAGCGTTTTTAAAAGTTGTTGTAGAAAGAAGTTTTCTTGTATACAAATTAATTGAAAGCAATGAAAAAAAGTTATCCCAAATCAAATATTTGGCTTCATTTGAGACGGTTTTCTAAAAAAATTGACCTGATCAGACCCACGAAGGTTTAATCATTAGACTCATCTTTGTCTCTGCTTACACATTCCGGCATCGCAGGAAGAGCAGAGGGCCTTCGAGCTTAACGGTAGATGCTGATGAACATGTGGATGGTAGATGCGAACGCACTTCACTCACGTCACTCATGGCACTCACGGCTGACGCAGAGTCGTGCCTCCACTACACCAAACGGCAGTTGGCATCACGACAAACACAGAGTTGCGGACGCGCCGACGCAGTTGGGACACCATAAGCCACGCCAAAATTTGGACGCGCGATGGGTGCGGGACTTTGGATCGGAGCAAGACTTGAGCGCAAATCGGTGGCTCGCGGGTCAACCCTGATTCCTGGGTAGAACCGAACCCGACATGATTTTAGAAAAAAGTCGAAAACACGAACACAAACCTGACCCGTATGATAAATGGGTTGACTCGAACCCAAAATTTTTTGAGTCATATAAGGATCAGATTTCAAGTCCGATCAAATTTTGACACCTCTCTCAATTATGTTATTTTATTGAATTTCTTCGTGTCATGTTTGACGCTGTGGTCCCACCATGAAACATATAATCACTCTTTTCTACTTTATTTTTTATGTATTTGTTCAACTACCCCAAACAAAATTATATTTAGATGTTTAAGCCCATTAAACACGCACATATCACATATATAAACTTCAAACTAATTTTCAATCAGCTAACATAAAATCCTACTAATGTAATTTTATTTTTGAGTAGATTTGAAATTACATAGATCGGGCACTAGGCCAATAGTACTGAATGAAGGAATAACAAGCTGATTGCGCCACTTCAAGCAAAGTTGAGCGCTGAACTGAAAAGATTAACATAAAGGATATATATTCTTAATAACAATATTCAAGCAAACTAGTCCGGCCGGTCATCTGCCCCGCCTCACAGTTTTGTTATCAAATAGCGCCAGCTCTGATCTGAGGTCCCGCCTTTCTGTACCGCCGCAGTGGCCGCCGCACCAAGCTTCGCTGCCGTCTCGGCCAGCTTTTCATCCGCCATGAACTCCCTCACCTTCACCGCAATCTCCTCCGCAGCCACAACTCTTTCTTCGGCCTCCCACGCCCAGTTCTCCGGCCATATTCCCAACCCACTTCTCGGCACCGACGCCGCAATGACTCGTTGATCTCCCCGTCTTGGCCATGCGAGCAACTTCAACCCGGCCGCGGCCGCCTCCATCACCGAATTCGACCCACTGTGGCTCAAGAATCCGGCTACCGCACGGTGAACGAGAACAACATCCTGCTCTACCCACTGCCTCACCACCAATCCCCTATGTTCCACTCTCTTCACATACCCTTCTCCCAATAAATCATCAATATCCACCGCCTTCTCCTCTCTGTCCACCTTCGCAGTTTTCATCACCCAGAAAAACCGACACCCGCTCATCTCCAACCCAGCCCCCAATTCTCTGATTTGCTCCATCGACAACACCGAGATGCTTCCGAAGTTCACGTAAATAACCGACTTCTCCGGCTGTTCATCAAGCCACCTTAGCGCTGGCGAGGGAGAAGATGGTTGTTTTTTTTCGAGAGGTAAAGGGCCTAAAGCAATCACCGGCGGGAATCCGGGAACGACCTCGCCGGCGTTGAACGCAGCGAGCAACTCGGGCTCCAAGGCTAAAAATGTATTAACGATGACACCGTTCGCCAGAGTAAGTGCCCGACCGTTATCTATGAATTGGGTGGTGAAGAGGTGGTTCGGGTCTCGGAGGGGCGGCGGGATGGAGGAATATGGAATCTTGAGAACGCCGCCAGCGATCTTGACGTCAGTACTGATGGGATGGGGAACGAAGGGGGAAACAGAACAGAGAGCGAGCATGGAAGCAAACGAGAAGAAAGAGACGAAGCAAGGAATGTTTGCGGCGACAGCCACTGGGAGGAAGGTGGAGGCGATGGTGATGTCTATGATGAGGGATGAGACTGGTGGTGATAAGGTAGAGATGAGAGAAGGAAGGAGGTGGGCGGAGCGGCGAATGGCTTCCCATCGGAGCGTGACGGGGTCTGAGGATTCGGGGAAGAGAGAATGGTCAAATGGGGCGAGAGGGAAGTCAATTAGAAGGGATGATGGGAGGGAGGAGAGGAGGCTAGATTCGGCGGCGGTTATGGTGGGGCGGACGGTCAGGAGGGAGATGGAGACGCCGCGGTCGGAAAGTGCTTTGGCGAGGCGGACGATTGGATTGAGATGGCCCATGCCGGAGCTCGGGATGATGAGGACCTGAGAGAGTTTAGTGTCGCCGGAGGACATTGCTGCACAGTTGCTACGACGGTAAAAATATGTGTGCAAATGCGAAGGAGTGGCACTTAGGACTCGCCATTTATCTTTAATTTATAACGCCGGGAGCTGAGAGTCATTTATTTAATTATTTCAGGACACAGGAAGCTACTTTTTTTTTTTTTGTGTGACATTTTTTATATGTTATTTTTTAA